AAACAAAAGACTGTGAAAGCTTGAGGGAAGATCCAGAACATCTCGAGAGCGATGAACCTTCAAACATCCTTCAAACAACATACAGAGTCTGACTCAGATGTTCAGCTCGTGTTTTCGTGTTTTAGTGTTCAAGTTCAAAGTTACTCTCAGTCACTGGTAGTTTGATATCGTTCCTAGTTGTTGTGTGGACTAGATTGATTATTAAAACTTTATGCTTATAGTTATTGGTATAAAAGGCCTTTAGTGAGGTTATATTCTGGGTACAGTTTTTATGGAAAGGGGCAAATTATCTCTAATTGGATTCAATGCAATTTACCAAAAATTACACTGTGCAAAATATTAATATTGATACTTAGCACACATTACAAAAAAATAATAAATAATCATTAGAACATATGATTTTTAAAACTGTAAATAACTATTTCTTTAAAAAAAATTGTTTTCACAAATTATAAATATTATTAACAGTATTGTAAATACTTTTGAAACGTTTTATAATAAATTTCATGTAAACGTTAACTGAAAATAAAATATTAAAAACGTATTTTATTTCATCTAGTTGCAAAGGCAACATTTTTCATTTTAATTTAGTTTAACTTGATGTACTACTGTAAATGAACTAACACTGAATTATTTAAACTATATAGACATATATAGACTTATATGGGCATGTAAAAAACTAAAACAACTGACAAAACATGTGTAAAACAAAATTACTATAACTAAAATTAAAATAAAAGCCGAAAATCTAAAAATAAAAACTGATTCGAAATATTAATAAATACTATAGACATTAAAAAAATAAAAACTACAAAAATTCCCAAAACTAAATCAAATTAGAATTAAAACTGAAAATATTTTTTAAAAAACGATTTAAATATTAATAAAACAATATAGTATAGACATGTTAAAAATGACAAAAAATTACTGTAACTAAAATTAGAATAAAAAAAACTATATAGATATATATAAAAAGACTAATAGAAATTATAAAATGCTAAAACAAAATTATATATAACTAAAATTAAAATGAAAACTAAAAATGTAAATATAAAAACTAATTAAAAATGCTGATAAAACTATATAGTCATATTATAAAAATAATAAAAATCTCAAAAACATTACTAAAACAAATGCTGAGATTATGGGTTCGATTCCCAGCTAACTGAAATTAACCCGCAAACGTCATAATCATAATACAAATTTTGTGCGCACATCCCACGACTCGTCAGAGTGTCGACAGTTTACAGGCGTGTTTATCGTCCTGAATGAGAAAAATCTGTATTTCTGACAGCTCAAACATCAATGCGGGTCTCGAAATAAAGAATGCAAAAGAAGTGCTGCACGGGGTGTAGGGTTCTTGTCTCGGTGCTCTTTGGGTGCAAGGCATGATGCAACTCGTAAGAATAATAGTAGTCCAAGGCACTCGAATCTTATTCAAAAAGTTTTAAAAAGCCTTTATTTCATCAGGGCTATAAGTTTTAAAAACAGGTGACAAGTGCACACCTACGCGTTGCGGCTATTTTGCCTTCGTCAGGGTTAAAGAAGGCAATGGTGTATTACATACTACTATTTTTAGGAAAGAAACAGATAGACATACTATTTTAAGAGCAGATCGTTTTCACCCTTCATGGCTGATCGACAATATTCCCTTAAGACAGTTTCTTTCCTCTAAGAAATTAAGTACCTGGTTATGTCCGAGTGCAGGAAATTACAGATGTGGCAATTGCAATCACTGTGACAATATGGTCAAGACAAATATGTCTAAAGATGTAACTTCAGACATTGAATTTAAAGTTAAATCATTTAGTACTTGCAATACCTCATTTGTAATGTATCGGATAGAGTGTCCATGTGGTTGTTTCTATATAGGGATGACTACAAGGACATTAAAGATCAGATTAGCAGAACATAAGAATGCCATTCGAGTTTGTAACCCTTTGTATCCTATGGCCCTTCATTATAAAGAGAAAAATCATGGTAGCCCAAGATAATTGGTATAGAACATGTCCCCAGGTCAATAAGAGGAGGTGATAGGATCAATAGGCTTTTACAGAGAGAGTCTTTCTGGATCGATATACTGAAAGCAACTAGACTTCCAGGCTTAAATGGGGAATTAGACCTTGTACCTTTTTTGTAGTAAGAATTCAGATCTGGAAATATTATATTGTTGATCTTGTTTTGTATGTTTTTGTATGTATCTGTTTGTCCTGTGTAGAACGACCAGGTGATTGTTATTTGACTAATTAATTGCTGCTCAAAATGAACTCAGATTGTGTTTGTTACTCACACCCTGACGAAGGCAAAATAGCCGCAACGCGTAGGTGTGCACCTGTTTTTAAAACTTATAGCCATGATGAAATAAAGGCTTTTTAAAACTTTTTGAATAAGATTCGAGTGCCTTGGACTACTATTATTCTTATGAGTTGAATCAATGCGAGTCTGTTACGACCTGAAACATGATATAATGGTAGAGCAGAATTGCTTTACTGACACTGGACGTGTTGTTCAGTGTTTGCAGTGACTCTTGTTCTCATCATTTCTGTCTGAATCACTGGCTGAGAGTCAAAGAAACAGCGTTTGCTGTCCGTCGGCTCACCTGCTGTTGTTCAGCAGACGTGTGTGTGTCCCGACGGGCCGCCGCTTTCTCTGCCCGACTCTTTCAAGTAGCTGAGAGAGCGGAGCAGCTCGAGTCTCATCAACACCACCATCTGCTGCCGCTCCTCGCTGATGAACTCTGGGAATTCAGCCGCATTCACCACAGTCACACCGAGCTGGAGCAGCTTTCTTCTGACGCATACACACATCGACAACTGGACAAGAACACTCACACACACACACACACACACTCACACACTCACACACCGCCGACAACTGGACAAGAACACACACACACACACACGCTGCTCATCGTAATCAAAGACTGTCTGTGACTATTTAACTTCAGCTGACAAAGTCCATCTACATTAAAGCAACTGACATGAAAGGAGTGTTTGTGTGTGTGTGTGTGTGTGTGTGTGTGTGTGTGTGTGTGAATGTGGGATCTAATTGAGCTGCTAATTAAGAGCAGCAGCAGATCTCACTGTTTTCTGTTGTGTCAGAAATATTTCTGTCCAGCCGGTGAACAGGAAACACTGTCCTGAACATCTGTTGAACCTCACAACCGCCGTTACCCACAATGCATTTCACCGAATCATGTGTCTTGAGTGCTTTAGTATCACGGATATACTATCATAGCTTGTATTAATATTTTGAATTAGTTTTTATTTTAGAATTTAGAATTTAACTATATGTTCATATAGTTTTTTATGTTTTTGTCAGTTTTAGTTTAGCTATTTTAGTAATAAAGTGAGATACGTTGCATAGGGTTTTTTAAAATTTTATTTCAGCTAACGTTCAGGTTTAGTTCTTTAGACTTTAATGCCCACGTGGGCTGCGACAGTGACACCTGGAGGGGCGTGATTGGGAGGAACGGCCTCCCTGATCTGAACCCGAGTGGTGAGTTGTTATTGGAACGAACACCATGTTCAAGCATAAGGGTGTCCATCAGTGCACGTGGCACCAAGACACCCTAGGTCGGAGGTCGATAATCGACTTTGTAATCGTTTCTTCTGATCTTCGGCCATAGTTCTTGGACACTAGAATTTAACTATATGTTCATATAGTTTTTTATGTTTTTGTCAGTTTTAGTTTAGCTATTTTAGTAATAAAGTGAGATACGTTGCATAGGGTTTTTTAAAATTTTATTTCAGCTAACGTTCAGTTTTAGTTCTTTAGACTTTAATGCCCACGTGGGCTGCGACAGTGACACCTGGAGGGGCGTGATTGGGAGGAACGGCCTCCCTGATCTGAACCCGAGTGGTGAGTTGTTATTGGAACGAACACCATGTTCAAGCATAAGGGTGTCCATCAGTGCACGTGGCACCAAGACACCCTAGGTCGGAGGTCGATAATCGACTTTGTAATCGTTTCTTCTGATCTTCGGCCATAGTTCTTGGACACTCGGGTAAAGAGAGGGGCTGAGCTATCAACTGATCACCACCTGGTGGTGAGTTGGATTCGATGGCGGGGGAGAAGGCTGGACAGACCTGGCAGGCCCAAATGCATAGTGAGGGTCTGTTGGGAACATTTGGCAGAGGCCCCCGTCAGAGAGGTTTTCAACTCCCAACTCCAACATAGCTTTAAAGCAGGTCCCAAGGGAGACTGGGGACATCGAGTCTGAATGGACTATGTTCCACACCTCCATTGTCGGGGTGGCAATTCAGAGCTGCGGCCGTAAAGTCTCTGGCGCCTGTCGTGGCAGCAATCCCCGAACACGGTGGTGGACACCGGAGGTAAAGGATGCTGTCAAGCTGAAGAAGGAGTTCTATTGGGTCTGGCTGACCCATGGGACTCCTGAAGCCACTGACGGGTACTGGCGGGCCAAGCAGAATGCGGCTCTGGCAGTCGCTGTGGCAAAAACTCGGGCCTGGGAGGAGTTTAGTGAGGCAATGGAGGAAGCCTTTCAAAGAGATTCTGGCAAACCGTCTAGTGGTATAGAAGGGGGAAGCAGTGTTCCGCCAACACTGTTTACAGTGGAAGTGGTGCGTTGCTGACTTCAACTGAGGATGTCGTCGGGCGGTGGAAAGAGTACTTTGAGGATCTCCCCAATCCTTCCAACACACCTTCTGTAAAGGAAGCTGAGACTGGGGACTGAAGTTGCTGAGGTAGTCAAAAAACTCTGCGGTGGCAAGGATCTGGGGGTGGATGAGATCTTCCTTGAGTTTCTCAAGTCTCTGGATGTTGTGGGGGCTGTCTTGGCTGACACGCCTCTGCAGCATTGCGTGGAGTTCAGGAACAGTGCCTCTGGACTTGCAGACCGGGGTGGTGGTCCCTCTTTTTAAGAAAGGGGACCGGAGGGTGTGTTCCAACTATAGGGGGATCACACTCCACAGCCTCCCTGGGAAAGTCTATGCCAGGGTACTGGAGAGGAGAATCCCACCAATAGCTAAACCTCGGATTCAGGAGGAGCAATGTGGTTTTCGCCCTGGCCGTGGAACATTGAACCAGCTCTATACCCTCACTAGGGTGTTGTAGGGTTCATGGGAATCTGCTCGTTCCCTGTATGACCGGAGCAGGAGCTTGGTTCGCGTTGCCGGCAGTAAGCCAGACCTGTTTCTGGTGCATGTTGGACTCTGCCAGGGCTGCCCTTTGTCACAGATTCTGTTAATTATTTTCATGGACAGAATTTCTAGGCGCAGCCAGGGAGCGGAGGGTGTCTGTTTTGGTGGCTGCAAGATATCGTCTCTGCTTTTTGCGGATGATGTGATCCTGTTGGCTTCATCAAATCAAGACTTACAGCGTGCACTGGAGAGGTTTGCAGCCGAGTGCGAAGCGGCGGGGATGAGAATCAACACCTTCAAATCCGAAGCCATGGTTCTCAGTCGGAAAAAGTTGGATTGTCCACTCCAGGTTGGGGGTGGGTTGCTCCCTCAAGCTCCCTCAAGTGGAGTTTAAGTATCTCGGGGTTTTATTCACGAGTGAGGGAAAAATGGAGCGGCAGGTTGACAGATGGATTGGTGCTGCGTCCGCAGTAATGCGGTCATTGTACCGTTCTGTTTTGGTGAAGAAGGAGCTGAGTCTCAAGGCGAAGCACTCAATTTACCGGTCGATCTACATTCCTACCCTCACCTATTGTCATGAACTCTGGATCATGACCGAAAGAATGAGATCGCGGATACAAGCGGCAAAAATGAGTTTCCTCCGCAGAGTGGCTGGGCGCACACCTTAAGGATAGGGTGAGGAGTTCAATCAGCCGGAAGGAGCTCGGAGTAGAGCCGCTGCTCCTCCGCATCGAGAGGAGCCAGTTGAGGTGGCTCGGGCACCTGTTTCGGATGCCTCCTGGACGCCTCCCTGGTGAGGTGTTCCGGGCATGTCCCACTGGGAAGAGGCCTCGGGGCAGACCCAGGACACGTTGGAGGGACTATGTCTCCCAGCTGGCCTGGGAATGCCTTGGGGTTCCCCCAGAGGAGCTGGAGGAGGTGTGCAGGGAGAGGGAAGTCTGGGGGGCTCTGCTCAGACTACTTCCCCCCGCGACCCGGCCTAGAATAAGCGGAGGAAGATGAGATGAGATACATTTTATGTTTTACATTTAAGTAGCTATATATATATATATATATATATATATATATATATATATATATATATATATATATATTTTTTTTATTTATTTAAACCATCACTTGACAGTCAGTAGTCATACCATCAACCCTGGACTTTATTTTACTTTGTTTTTAATTGATATATTCAATATAATTTACCAGAAATATATAGTTCAGTCATGAAACTCTAGATGGTGCAGGCGACTGGTTGTTAACGTAACCAATGATATTCAGATATATATATTCAACTTTTTGTTATGTTTAACAAAAAATTTTACCAAAAAAAATGTATATATACTTTTTTATTTTCAATTGATGGTAATTTTATTTCAAATAACAAAAGTTTTTTTTATATTTATGTTTATAGCTCTTGCTTTACTAAATGATCTGAAGCAGTTGGAAGAGGTTTGTGTGTGTTTGTGTGTGTGTGTGTGTCTCTACTGGTCATTTGGTCATCTGTAAGCAGATTACTGCAGGATGTGTGAGTGTCAGCACTGCTGGTTAAAGTTAGCCCTGTTAGAGGCAGATTATCCGGATAAAGGCATCTTACTCGCTCCTCTCTAATCTGAAGACAGTAGCGCTCTGATCGCCTCTGAATCTCCTTCTCTCTGCTGTCTGTGTGTCGGTTTGTGAAGGAACTCGAATCCGCGGCGGGAGCGACACCATTGTGCCGTAAGAGCCCATGGCGAGAACGGATCGAATCTCAGTGGAAATCTGCCGCTCGGAACTAATGGGATTTTTAAAGCCATCTTAATATCTGACAAGAACAAAAGGGTCTGTTTTGGAATAACATTTGAGTCATTAATAAGCCCTTACAGTGAGAATGGAGGAATATAGTGCTGGATCGCTCCTCCTGACAGAATCAGGGTTTAAATTAGAGCCGGATAGAAGTAGGCCGAGCGAGACCAGATGCGTATTAACACAACGATGTCACAGAACACACGTCCAGCTCAGATTGCACACTGACATCACTGAGAAATAGATCATTGCATTTAACTTTCAGAAAATAAAGCCGATGCATAATAGTAGCCATGACAGCTAAGCATATTTAACCCAAAATGTGTATATGTGCGTGCGTGCATGTGTGACATTTATTTATTTGTTGTTTTGAATACATCATTGTTGTAATGCCTTTATGCTGAATTAAACTATTTAATTAGAAGTTTTATTGCAATAAAGTAAATCATTGTTACAGTAATGGGAATTACAAAAAATGTCCAGATACATTGTTAATGACTTTTATTTAATTTTATTTTAATGAGAATTTAAGGTGTAAATGTGCTTAATTATCAAAAATAGTGTCACAATGCAAAAAAACAAAAACATAATAGTCCTAAAATGAGTCATTACGTCTTTTATG